TTTGAAAATATTACTTGAATTTATATACGTTTGTCAATATTTTTCGGTTGATTTAAACGCAAGCCCTTAAATATCTGAATGTATGAATAAATGGACTCATACCACTTTCATTTATAACGAATGGCCCAGTTGTAGGCTAACAACTTCAATCGTTTTTTTTGTGATTCATTAACTGACATGGCAAAGATTAACTTTGCCGTGTCTTATTGGAATTGTAAGAGTTCAAATAGAAATGGCACGTCCGTTATTATCAGAGGTATCCTAGGAATAAACGAACTCCCAGAAGGCATCCCCCTAGGAAACACTTCCAGATGTTGCGTTGCCATAACTTAATAAACAGCAACAACAACTAGGAATAAAAGTAGGCCTATATTCATTCTTTCCACGATCTGTATTTGCGCTTCAACGACGGGAGGTTATAATGCTTTCATTATCAATCTCTGTTACCATTGCAGAGCTTAGGATGATCGAAATTTCGTATAAAGATTATAGGGCCTCGAACTTTATGTTATACTTTGTAAGGAGGCAATCCTGGATATTCCAGATAATGTAAGAACTCCGTTGTATATACGACACGTTCATTTCGATCTCTAACTGAATCAATGTATTTCTAAATATAAGAATCACCTGGGATATCATGCAGTAGGTGTAGGTTGATAGAATTAAGTGCCAAATCTTTCACTGCCACTATTGCTATTTCACTCAACCTGCTAAAGACTAAAGTTAGTAAACATCCTTTTGATTAATTCATTTACACTTTGCACTACTGTACTGATTTTACATAAATGACTTAATTGTCAGAATCCAGAAATTTTCCATCTCAAAGTTGTAGAAAATTATGAGCGAATATATCTGAATTGTGGTCACCATAAATTGCTTCTCGCAGGTTAGTTGTAAGCTTAAAGGTTATAACATCATAACACAAACAGGAGGATTTTAGACATGCTCGAATATCAAGCTTTTGTTTATTTATATATAACTGGCAAGGTCTGGCAAAATTTTCCAGATAAGACAACAGTTATACCGCCCATCAGTGTCTTATTATTTCTAACATCTTGTAGTGTTTTATTCAAAAACCAACAATGTATTAACAAGAGACCAACAACAATTAGCATTTATTTACTATTTTCGCACATAGATACGTGTAAATCCAATAAATTCAATGTAAACAGAAATTAATTGATATTATGAATCCAATCAATATTTTCCGATATGATATATTACATTATATAAGTCAGAACGTAACTGCCAAGTTTCGTAGAATTGCTCGAATGGCCTTTGCGTGTATAGCGAACGAACGAACAAACAAACATTCTCATTTATACAGGGTGAGCCAAAAGTCACTTTACGGTTTAAAAATTAAATAACTTTTTTGCTTTTTTATTATATTATATTTTTTCAGATTTTTAAAATACAGGATTTAAAATAAATAATGGGTAAATTAATGCCAGAACAACGTGCAGCTGTTAAGACAAATTTTTGGAGAAACAATAATTTCCAGAAATGTGGAGTTTCATTGGCTGTCACGTTCCCAATCTGACAGATCGGGAATTTTTTTAATGGGGATATTTGAACCAGCAAGTGTTTATTAATAAGCCCCAAACTCTTGCTGAGCTGAAAGACAATATTCATCAGGAAATTCAAATGATAAACAGAGTCACTTTGCAAGCAGTTATGGAGAGCGCCATAGAAAGAATTTGCCTTTGTAAAGAGGAAAATGGGAGTCATTTAAAATTGTTTAGGCAAAAAAAATCTCCAAGATATGTACATTATAAAGTTAAAAAAAAACTTATAAAATAATTAAAAGTAAAAAAGTTATTTCATTTTTACATGAGAAAGCGACTTTTGGTCCACCCTGTATTTTGGGTTTTGTTTCTTTGTACTTTTGTTAACATAAAATAATTAACAGAATAGTCCTTTAAAAAATAATATGTTTTAAATAAAATGATGGTATCACTACGGGTTCAATAATAGGTCCAATTTTTGCAGAATTAACTATGTCCAATATAGATCAAGAGGTTGTTAACATCATGGGAATAATAAAATTGTATCGTTATGTTGATGATTGTTTTATAGTATATGATGACAATATTATACAGGCTGAGCAAATCCCGGAACAAGTGAATCAAATAGATATAGATATTAAATTTAATCTAGAACCTGAAAACAACTATCAGTTACCATTCTTAGACTTTTAGTTACTAGACTCAAAAACAAAACAATTTTTTAAAAATATTTTTTAAAAAATGTACTGTTAATGGCATTATACATTTTACATCAGAGGTACTGTAAGGAGGACGCCCTTGGGGGAGGTGACACCGCTGTGAGGTTTGTCCCCGTTTATAAGGATGCGGTCTTTCCCAACCTAAACTTGCACAGAGGTCGCCCTTAAGGTGAAAGGTTACGACCCTTGCTTTGCCCGTGATCTGTCAGGATGACAGGAGAAAGTTTTTTCCGTATGGGGGTAGTGGTTTGCTGGACGCCAAGACTCACACCATATTTCCACAATTTAATGCGTTTATTGAACTAAAAACACACTTACAATCGTAACACTTGTCGGTATTGTCCAAACGATGGAATGTCCTTCCCGGCGGCACATGGGTCACACAACGGTAAAGGGTTCTCCTGCATAGGTCGTGCGAGGTTTTCTCTTTCCAGAGGCTGGAGGAGGAAGTGGGCCATGTAGCACAAGAATCACGGCGTCCACGGTGTTCCGGTGGAAGTTGATTCCTTACTTCGGAACTTGAAGAGTTTGACGATGGGAAGTTCGGTCCCTGCTCTTCAGCCGTACTTCGTTTTAGCCTTTTTGTCCCTGTAGTTCCGAGCTGCGTTGTCCGGACTATTTGCTCCCAACCTCCCCGTGTCCTTGGGATTTCGGGCTTTTATAATCTTTTCTCTCCCGAAATCCCGAGGTTTTGGTTGGTCCGAATGTTGGTCCCCTGCGATTCTATTGGTCCCTGGTCTGTTGCCAGGGACACAATTCGGGCCGAGGGGTTGTCGAATGTCCCCGTCCGGGCCATTCTCCTCCGGAGTCAGGTCAAGCCCTTTCCCGGATGATGGTCCCGTAAATTTTCACCTAATGTCTGTTTTTCTGTGCCGGAGAGGAGGAAGCTGTCTCAGCCGCCGCTCCCTCCGCAGGAGTGTCAGCAGGACCTGCTTTGAACTCTCTGTAAGGTAACCGTCCAAAGTTTCCCCCGACGGTCGATCCCTCACTCGTCCCCACAATTGACGATCGCGGATCTGCCAATTAGGTCTGGAATGTGACAATTAAATCGTCTCGCACCCCATTCCTTGGTCACACCGGTTCTATTTACATAATAAGTCAACGATATATTGACTTTAGCTCGACAGCCGGTTTCCGTCCAAACGGGGTGTGTGGTCCCGGCCTCACCAGTACCCAGTTATATAAAGAATATTTTTACATGTACATTGATAAAATTACACAATGAACCACAAATGATATAGATAAATCCACTGAAATACAAGACATTATAAAAATGTACTTAATGAATGGCTATAGCAAGAGCATGATCAGTAAATGAATAGAAAAGAAAATACACATAAACAACTAATTGAAAACACAACTTATAAATTTTTTAAAATCCATTATGAAATGAATATTTCTGAAAGAATTAAAAATAAATTAAACAAATATGATATAATTTTGGCACCCAAACAAAATAACAGTTTAAATAGAAAAATAAACGCACATAAAAGGACTAACATATGGGATCGAAGAAACATTATTTATAAATTAAAATGTAGCTGCACCATACCTAGATTTTACATAGGGAAAACTGGTAGGGAATTAAAGGTTTGTTTTAAAGAACATATATCTGCCATTAAGCATAATAATACAACTCAGCTGTAGCACTGTAACAAAGAAGGTTGTCAAATAATAAGGGACACTGTTAAAATAATTAAAAACGAATCAAACACATATAAAAGAAGATGGTACGAGCACTTAGAAATAATAAAAAATAAAGAAAAAATCACGAATAATAATTCTGGCCAAAAATTACATAAATCGTGGTATGCATATTTGACAAAAGGGGTGGGGGAGAATATAAATAAAAAGGGAAAAAAAGGCAATTTCTAATTGTCAGCAAATCATTTTATCATTTTATTGTTTTAACAGTGAATTTGTTCATTGTTTTATTGACAGTGAATAAGTTCATTACTTTGTGTCTTTTATTACGTATACTGTTTGTTTTACTGCTTGTTTTAATTATACTACTCTAAGCATCGAATCAACGAGTCTTATGTAAGTTTACAACATTTTTGTTATTTGTGGTATTTTTTAAAATCGTTAACATCCTGTTAATGTTATAGCAAACACCTGGAAATCAATGATTTGTCATTGGTATTTTACTGAATGTTATGATTTTATTGTACATTTCATAAATGTGGTAGTATCAATTTCATAATTATGTAAGTTGAATTACAACCTTAAATTTTTACTGTCAACATAATCTAACTTATATTAATTACATTTAGAAGCTACTTTTGTAATAATTTCATAATCTAACTTGTATGTTTTATTTCCTAAATATAATTATATTATAAAAAGCTGATGAGGGACTTAAGGTCCAAAATGCATTCTTTTGGAAATAAGTGATTTTCTAAGGCTGATCTTGTGTCGAGTGACGGTGTAATAAGTCTAGTGATAAAGGGCAACATAGTGCTCACAAGTTTATAATAGTAATTTGTTTTACCGAAACATTTTATTTGAAACGTGTTTTGGGAGTGATACAAGCTTTTAGGGTCTGTTCACTTTTAAAAATACAAATGAATGTCAGCTCACAACTGTACAGTGTTTACACCGACGGAACTTAAATCGGATTCATTTGCGGTAATTATTTACCGATTAATCTCTAAATTAAGTCATCAAATGGTAATGATCTCGTCTTAGTCCAATGTTAGCAGATCCCCATTTTGTAAAAAGAGCAGAAATATACTAGAATTTATTATTTTATGAGAAAATTTGATTAATTACTTACAAGATGCAGTTTCTCCCGCTGCACGTTGTGCTTCCATATTGACAATTACAGTAACAGGGAAGTGTTGCCAATCTTTACACGCAGTAATGATTGTGACAAATTAAATTATTATTGATATAATTATTTATTGTATTCCATATAATATTAATATTTTATTATATACAGTAACTTAAGATTGGAGTTCAATGACATTATAAGCGACACCCACATGGCCGAGAGGTCAAGGTGACAGTCTGCCGCTCCGGGAATCCAGTATCGCATCCGGAGGGGTCGAAAAATTCCTTTTTCGGGGATGGTCCGACCATATATGTCGGGCCTCCACCTGAAAAATTCCTGAGGTTTTTTCGTCCCGTCCGGATCTACAGTAATTCCGGTCCCCTATAGAGGTAGGCTGTAACCGCTCGTCATCCGGCCGTCAAATCTGCGCGGCACTAATAAAAGCTAAGTGGAAAGTAAACTGTGGCAGAACCCATATAAAAGAACTTGCTAAAAGAGACCCTCTTAGTACCCATATGGCGAAAAGAGCTAAAAAAACCGCGGCTTTCTTTCCGAAATGGAAAGGTGCTATTTTATTTTCTCCGTCATCTCCATGAAGTACGATTAAAATTAGATATCATTCGTATTCTATCAGGTTACAAAGAAGACATTTTGAAAATGTTATTGACCATTAACTCAACAACAATTATAGTTCAGCGTGGTAGATAATCACCATCTATATCAGGGGTGCCCAACCATTTTCTTTTTCTAGACCGCATTGGAAAAAGTCAAGGAGTTTTGGGCCACAAGTATATTATATATACTTGTGGCCCAAAACTCCTTGACTTCTTCCAATGCGGCCCAGAGAAGTACAGTATATTCAAGCGGCATTCAAGTATATATAATATATACTTGTGGTTCAATATACAAGTGTATTTAAGGATTAACATGTCTAGATTATAATAATAAATATTAAAACTTTATCGCGAAAAAGGATATTTTAAAAAATTACTTCTATAGACACTTTCAATTTTTACTTAGAAATAGACAAATTCATTTATTATAAAAGAGACAAACGAAAATGTATTTGAAAATCATAAATATTTGTTTTATTTCGGTCTCTAATTAATAAAAAGCGACGAAACACCATTTTAAAGTACATTTTTATTCAACTAATATATTTATAAATAACATGTAGCCCAGAAAGTAGCCAAAGCACCAAATGATATTTTTTATGTCAAGCAAAAAAAGTAGCCACATTTAGCGCAAATGTAGCCAAATCTTGCAACGTTGGAAGAAATACTAAATAAAGCTGGCGTTGTGACTCAAAAGATTATAGACCCAAATACGGTGAAAGGAGAGAAAAGACAAAAGATAAAAAAGCGGGAAAGGTTGGAAAATTAAGAATCAATATTTGCATAACAGAAGATCTATTTAACCTTTCTCACTACTTTTTATCTTTTGGCCTTTCTCTCCTTTTCTCAAATTTGGGTCTATAATCCTTTGAGTCACAACTCCAGCTTTATTTTGTAATCCTTCCTCATTCACACATCTCCAAGTATTTGAAAATATTTCCTTTCCACTCAAAAATAAAATATGAATAAAGGTTTACGACTTTGTGAAACTTCTTTTTTAAGTTTATGCCGTTGAAATAAATAATAAAAAAATTAAAACATTTGTCGGTTTTGTTTACACGTTTATTGGGCCGCATTGGAACTTGCCTTGGGCCGCGGATTGGACACTCCTGATCTATATCAATCACTCCTTTGCTGCAAACTTTCAATCCTGTCAGCAGAGAATGACTGGAGTTTTCTTTCAGGAAAATCTCGAATGTCAGATATTGCCAATTTATTGGCAATACCTGACATTCGAGAATTTCTATGGTTTATATTCCTTCCTATGGTTTATGTTCCTGTGGTTCTGCAGGACGCGGAATAGATGGTAGTCAATTGGCACCAAATCTGGACTGTAAGGTGGATGAGGCAGAACTAGGGTTTCTCCAATGGGATCCCAGCTATTTTTTAACCCGGGAAATTCTGCTCATCCCGGGAAATCCTGCAAATTTCTTAAAAGTTGGCTTTTTTCTTATTTTGTGTTAAAGTTGAGGAAATTTTGCAAATAGAAAGTATAATTATTAACCCATAAACTAACAGAATACATTTGTATTTATTAATTTTCAGCCCACTTATTAGTTTTTTAAACTTTTGCTGATGTCATAGATTGTCAATAATCAATACGTAGCCTATTTGTGACAAGATTCTGAAAATTTTTTACTTGTCTGAACCTGTAATATCTGGAATAATTGTGCTTACGCTGTCTTAATTTTTAACCATGCCCAGTAGCTTCAATAACTGCGTAACGGCAGGTTGTGCAAATCAGGCAAGGATACAAACGAGTATGAAGTCTGCAAGTATGAAGTTTTTCATAAACCTGATTATTAAAAGACAAACGAACTGCCGAATTATTGGGCTATAAGTCTGGGGGGCCCGGGCTCAAAACCGAACGGGTCGAAAAATTCCCCAGGAATTTTTCGGGGGGTGGTCCGTTCGGATATGTCGGGCCCCATCCCTCACCACCCGGCAGCCCCATTGTGGGCCTGGCCGAACTCATAATCGGTTTGCAAACCCCGCGTTTCTTTATGCAGCGCTCGAGAAGCGCTTTACAGCGAACAGACTGAAACTGGTTTCTAATTGGCCAACACTGCTCGTGACGTCATTTCGCTACATTCTCGCTGTATAAAGAAACGCGGGGAAAAAAGGCCCTTTTAATGCCTACAGGGCGGAAAGATTAAAAAAACCGAGGTAGACAAATCAAAAATACTAGATAGCAGAAGAAATACTGTAATGCGGTTAGAAATCTTCCAGGCTACAGGGGAAAAAAATCATAACATCCGTCTTCTCTTAAATGCATTAAAGACGATTCCACCCACATCAATCAAATCGAAAAGGGCATTCTCGGAAGCAGGACTTTTGTTTAGTAAAATAAGAATAAAATTGAATGATCGGAGTATTGACTATCTTTGCTTTTTAAAATCTTAATACAAAATATTGTAAATTTTTGTGTGTTTTATTTAAATAATGAAAATTACCTTCTAACTTAGAAGTTTGATCAAACGTCTGCAGATGAGATCGTGAGCTTCTCGTAGCCACTTTTGAAGTGATAGAGCAACATCACACGAATGTGTTCTTTCGAAAGTTCCATATTGTCAGAAATTGCTGATGCATCGATTTCCAATGAAATATGTGATGAAACGCCATTTGGTAGCTCTACTTATAATTTCACCTAGAACGTTCTAGAAACAGGGATGGGCGACCTTTTTCTATGTAAGGGCCACATTAAAAACTTTTGAACTGACGCGGGCCGCACAAGAGAAAAAAGTGGGTAAATCACAATTTATAATCATACATAAATAAATAATTAACATAAGTATGCTTAATTCGACTACTGTCACTGATGTAAACGTAGTCGACCCCCGTATAACACTGTTGATAATTCCGTTTTATATGAATTCATGTTGTACGAGTCACTTAGATTTTACAAATACGTGTGCCATACTGTGAAAGGCTCACGTATTTGTAAAATCTAAGTGACTCATAGAACATGGAATTCATATAAAACGGAATTCATATAAAACGGAATTATCAACAGTGTTATAGGAGGGTCAATGTATATCCAAAATATTTGGTTGAATATTAGTCACTGCTAGTTTTAGTTTTCACGCGAGTCAGCCGATTTTTCGTTTTACTTTTTATTAAATTTTTACTAACAGTAAGTTGTAGAAAATAACGAAAGAATTTTTGCTGCATACTTCCTTAAATTGATATGTTTATTAATATTTTGTGCCACGCGGGCCGCATAAAATATTAAATTAATGTGGCTCGCGGGATGCCCACCCTTTTTCTAGAACATTTCTGACGAAACGCAAAACGTGTTGCTTTTTCCGGAAGTCGGTCTAGTATAAAATTGAACAGCAAATTAGCGAAGGCAGGCATCGAACCGAGCATAAAGAATAAGAGAGGCCCTCTCCCCAACCCTTTAACCGTTAACCACCAAAATTTAATAGCATTAATTTCCCTTATAAAACGAAATTTGGCACTACCGTGCCAAATTTCGTTTCTTCATTACTCCATCCTGAGATATTAAACGAAATAGACTAATAAGCGCACACTGAAATTTTTTGCCTTTTTTCACTTTTTAAGGTTCAGGAGTCTCAAAACGTGGAGAGTTGGGAAAAACTCGGTCAAATTTAACACCATTCCACTACTTTCCCTTATGTATATGTTACTATACATAACACAGGGAAAGTAACACTATGCCTAAGATTTCATCTTATTAACCAGTAATTGGTTGTTTTTTATGATACAAAATTGTTTAAAATAATTATAATCTTTCTTATGTTCTATGAAATAATATTTATTTCAACTATATTTATACATAACAATCTCGATTAAACGTTAACAAATATATATATTTAAATATAAATACTAAACAAGAGCATAATCTGGAATAAATTTTAGAAATATTTAAATAGAAATGATATCTGTATAAATGTTATAACTAACATTTCTAGAAGTAATTTTGCTTTAATTATGTACACAACATATTCAATATATTGCACAGTTTTTATAATTCAAGATGATAGTATACTCAATATGTTCTTTTTTATAACAATCATCATTACAAAAGACTTACAGTAACTTACGATCTTTGAATAGATAAAAATATTACAAACAACATCTTACCATTTCTCATCATTTAACAAAACTATTAAAATATTTGATTTATTATTAGAATTAAAATTTAAGAAAAAAAATTAAAATTAAGTAGACTTTAAATTTGTACTATTACATTTAAACACAAGATATGAATTTTCAAAAACAAACTTCTGTACTTTCAATATAAAATCACAAATGGTCATCTTTATTTCTTTCTGAATCTATTGCTGCCGAAACTTCGTGAAGTGCAGAGTTTAATACAGATGAGAGAGTCGCTAATTGAGATTTCCTTTCTTCGGCTAAAACCTGCACATAAAAATTATTATTTGGTTTGTATTATTGTTTTTTGGCTTTAAAATTTAATTTTCTAATAAGTCATCAAAATTCAAAAGTCTATTAATAATTAATTAATGAAGAAACAAAACACTTCTTGGATAAGATAAAACTGTATTGTACAGTTTCAAAACTCATAATACAAAATAAGAATAAAAATATATTCTCATCCATATTAACTTTTGAGAAATAATAAATCACATTTCATAAGCTTGTTACCAATGTTAGAATTAGTTTACTTTTGTTCAAAAGTTTTTAAATGATTATTTCACTAAGAAAAAAAGAAATTAATTAATGTAAGTTTTAAAATATGATATTTGTATTTCTATAACTATAAATGTGATGTCAATATATCGAAAATTTGTATTAAATTTAATGTAACTAATCATATTATTAGTTGCTAATAATAAAATTAAAATCAAAAATAAATGAAAACAGTGAATTAATTCATACATTTTGTAACAAAAAACTTTATTTATAAATATTAAAATTAATTACAAAATACTTACTAAAAATACTTTTATATTTACAGTATGAATTTTTAATATTTTGTTCTGTTCTAGAAAGAACAGAACAAAATATATAAAATGTAGAATATGAATTAAAATAAATAAATACTGACATACAAATATAATAAATCAGCAGCACCTTCAATTCTGAACAATTTCTTTATAAAAAGAAACTTCTTATACTATTACTATTGCAATGAAATCTTTAATTGTAAATTTTGAAAATGTTTTTGTTTGTTCTTTTTTTCAAGTTTTTTAGGCATGCATATTTAAGTTTTTTAAAGTAGTAATTATTTGCACTTCTTAAAACTTTACATCATGAAACAGCTTGAGGAGAAACAGAGTTTACAAGATCACAACATTACAACGGCCACAAAGTTGGTTTAATGAATTTTGGAGACAAGTTCTTAAAATAAAATTACAAATATTTAAAAAATGCAACATGCTACTTATTATCCATATATGAAACCACATATAGTTGCAAATCATTATACTACATCTAATTGTTGTTTACAATTAACAAATCAGCACCTAGAGAAATTAATATGAAGTGCAATTATATCAAATATGAATCAAATTTTAAATTTAGTGTTTCAACTGCAAACCCACAAACTTTCCATCAGCAAGTAATCAAAGAGAAACATTGATATGTATTTAGATATAAGAAAAACAGAAATTAATTTAGAATAAACCTATATTTTAGATAGTCTTTCTTACATACCTACCCAAAATGTACACATTCCTAACCTAATGTAACAGTAATAACTATAGTATTTTAACTATATATAATATATAAAATACTGTTTCAACATACACTGGTGTGCAAAACTTAAGGACGAACGTAACGTTTGCATGTTGTGTCACTGCCAAGTAACATAGCTCGATGAAACTTGGCCCATATATAGAAAGAACTGCTACAGTATAGTAAGAAGTTAACTGACAGAAATACGCAACGAGACAAACAGAAATGACACTTTTATTCAACGACAGTAATTACACTAAAGTCACTGCGATATCTGATGGTCCTCTGGACATTACAAAAAGGCAAGACATGATTGTTAGTAGGGTGTGTGATCACCACGGATGGTAATGCACGCTCTGCAACGTGCTCCCATGCTTGCCACAAGGTTGGTAAGGAGTTCCTGTGGTTGGTAAGGGCGTTCCACTCCTCCACCAGTGCGGTTGACAACTGCTGGATGGTCATTGGTGCTTTTGGACATGATGCAATATGTCTCCCCAATGCATCCCACACATGCTCGATGGGATTTAAGTCGGGGGAATGGGCAGGCCAGTCCATTCGCCGAATATCATCTTGCTCCAAGAGCTCCTCCACCTGCACTGTTCGATGTGGTCGAGCATTGTCATCCATAAAAATGAAGTCAGGGCCGAATGCACCTCTGAAAAGACGCACATGAGGAAGGGAGTACAGTGTCACAATAACGTTGACCAGTGACAATACCACGTTCAAAGATTTGGAGGTCAGTACGCCCATGCAACATTATGCCTCCCCACACCATAACACCTTGACCACCAAAATGATATTGTTCGACAATGTTCCTGGGTGCATTACGTGTTCCCACCTCTCGCCATATGAGGGTACGTCCAGAATCACTACTCAGACTGAACCTGCTCTCATCCGAGAAGAGCACGCGACCCCACTCCTCGTTGGTCCAGTCCCTATGCTCTTGGCACCATCGCAAACGATGCCGCCGATGTGCTGGTGTCAATGGAACACAACGTACTGGTCTTCGGGCAAAGAGACCACCCCTATGCAGTCGCCATGCCACTGTGGTGCATGAGATTGCTTGCCTTGCAGTCCTGTTAAATGTGATTGCAATTGCACCTGCTGATTGACATGGGTCCCTTATTGCCTGTTGCACAATGTAGCGGTCATCTGCTGCTGTAGTTGATCGTGGCCGACTACCTCCTCTCCTTTGGGCAGCAGTGCCTGTGGTTTGGAACGCTCCCCATGCACGTGAAACAATGCTGTGAGCAATATCAAACTCCTGGGCTACACTCATCACACTTCGTCCTTCTTCCAGTCTCTCAATGATTCTTCTCCGTGTGAAGTCATCCAAATGTCATCTCTGGGCCATGTTGTAATAAAGAACACTATCACAGTGCACTGTAACTGCTCACTGATTGACACACACTGTCTTTTACCATTTCTTCAACTGCCTCGTGTTGTGTGGCCAGCCGCATTTGATGCTTTAGTCGCGCTGACCTGACGTCATGTGACGTCAAGCATTCTGTGCACAACCAAGACACCTCTGGGAAGATGCTCCTGTACTTTCATTCATTTTCACCGAGTTGTTCATAAGTTCTGTTACTTTATCTATCTCATCCTTAAGTTTTGCACACCAGTGTAGAATGTAACAATAAATTGAATATCAACTCAGCTTCTTTTAAAAGATTCATTTCAGATCTATTATGTAACAGTGATCTTGTTGCACATAACCCGACCAATGTTGTTAAGGAATTACAAGAGTTAAGTTTAATGGATGAAGAAGTTGGGTCCGTTATGGATTTTGAAAGCCTGTATCCATTGGTAAGGATAAAATCCTGTTACAAAGCTTTAATCAAATTTATGCTCCGCATAAAACCGGAAGTTGGTGCATTTGAGAATGATTTGAAGTAATTAGTCAAGTTGATGTGTTATGAGTCCTTCTTCAGCTATGATAAGAGGTATACAGACAGAAGAAAGGCGTACCTATGGGAAGCCCAATGTCAGAGTTGTTATGTGAATTGGTTTTACGCAACTTAGAAAAGCAAGTTGTTAATAGCTTCAAAAAAGATATTGTATTTTACAAAAGATATTTGGATGATATGTGCATTATATGGAGAAACGGCAAAAGAATACAAGAGTTTATACAGGTTAATATGAGGTAGATAATGTATGGCTGCTATGATGAGAACGTTTGGCCACCACTAATATATTGAATACATATAAAATGGAATAAAACCCAATGAAAAAATTTAATAAATACTTTTGAAAATTTATGAAATTAATTAACTCTAATGCTCATTACAACAAGTATCATATTTGGACTGCAATTTGAAAAAGTTGTAGACTTATAAATTCCCACTGTTGTTTGTCTGTCCATCTTTCCTTAATTTCGAAAATGGAGTTAGATGAAAGGCAAGACCAGATATGGGAACCTTAGGGGCATGAGGCCACGATTAACTATATATGAACTTCTGATGCAAACCAGAAGTCATGTTATTTCAATTCAAAAAACTTCTCCTGAAAGGAGTTAGATAGCTGACAGGCACAACTATTCCTAACAGGAAATGTATGATGTAGAGGAGCAAGACACTACTAACTTCAGGTGGATAGCATATACAGGGCAATTCAAAAGTCACAGAAATTTTAAAAAGTTAATGACTCAAGCTATTTACAGTAAGGTGATGTGGTTTTCACAGAAATGCTTCGAAAGAAACAGAACTTTTTTATATGTAATAAAAATTATAGTACCAAAATAGTTACATTTCTTGTCATAGATGCCACTTGATAAGATTAGTAACAACTTCACAAATTATGTAGAGCTTACACTAAGAACATTTTATTTTTTTTATTCTTACTTTAACAAATTTACAAATGATTTCAGTTTTGGCACACACCACCATCTACGGCAAGAAATGTAACTATTTTGGTACTAAAATTTTTATTACACCTAAAAAAATCCTGCTTCTTTCTAAGTATTTCTGTGAAAACCATATCAACTTACTGTAAATAGCTTGTGAGATAATAATTTTTTAAAATTTCTGTGACTTTTGAATCACCCTGTATTTTAAATTAAATAAATTAAAAATGTGATTAAAATTGCATCCTGGCATTGTGACAATGTCACAATAAATAATTGTTCATTACACATCCTTGAGTAATCTGTGCACCCCATGTTTTAATGTCTGGTTAAATACATATATATATATATAATGTATATACATAGGGTACGTTCGTAAAGTCGAACGAGTTAAACGAGAATGACGTCATCATTATTCTTATTTCGTTAGACTTTTCGAACGATTCGTTTAGAACTAAATGGCTGTTTCTAAAATCGAAGATACAAATGTTGCTAGTACAGCCTTATCCAAAATATTTTTCTTAGATTGCTTCGGGTGGACAGTTACTCCAATCATTTCATCTTTTAATTCACAATTTAAACACTCGAGTAGATTTAGAAACATCGATATCGTCGGGCGCCATTTTCTTAACGAAGTAAACCAACTCTCCTTCGTGAACTTTGTTCGAGTTTCGTTCGAAACGTCATCACCGCAGAGCATGCGCACTGAGCAAGACTACTACTTTTCGAACGATTCGTTACTAACGCGTTTAACTCGTTCGACTTAACGAACGTACCCATAGACATATATATACAGTTAGACTTGGTTATAATGAGCATTAGGGACCAGCAAGATTTTCTCATTATATCTGTGTTCATTATAACAGAGTTTGACTGTATATTGACCACTTTCTTTGGATATTTGGCAAAAATAGTATATGAGAAAAATTGGCAAGCAAAAAATAACACACAACTGATCCAAAGAATCAGACTTTCACTTGAAAAAACTGACATGAAGATCATCCAAAGGAATGCAAGTCTATCAAAACAAACATACAGCATGTCAATGACCACAGGGCATATGATCATATTCATCAATTCTATACTATTGTAAATAAAATTTCTTTTAAAATGATTTATAATATTTAATAGTTACTTCAATTTTTTGATAAAATATTATGCTTTAAAAAAGTCCAGATCTTTTGTCTCACCCCATTATTGCTGGAGTTATACAAGTATACTGCTTCTTTCATTTGGTTACTATTATCATTCTCCAAAATAATTTTGGAGAATGGGGGGGGCGCTTCTGTCTGCCGAAGCTGCTGGCGTGTTTTTTTACTCACTTCAAATACAGGTAAAGAACGTATCCTGTCAAATAATTTTACGTTAAAATTTTACTGTTTGTGCTGTGTGTTAACTTTATAATTGTTGGAAAATCTATCAACATAATTAATATGCAACGCTCGCCAATTAAAAGAGGAAGACCACCACTTCAAAAGTCAAAATCAACTAGTAGAAAGGAAACTGCTTCGACCACTAATACCAGGTTAATTACTGATTACAATTTACACGTCGAAAGAACTTCTCCTGAACCATCTTCTGCAAACGTAGGTTTGAACCCTGAAACTACACTTCTAAGTTCACAACTATCAGGTGAGCCATATGATTTTTTATCTTCTTCGCCAGGAAAAAATTCATCTGATATATCAAGTATAACACTATGGAATAAAATTTCTGAATTAATTAATGTTTCTAATACGAGAATATTAAGTCAAATGACTATTATCAAAGAAGATTTGGACCAGATTCGTAATAGTATCCAAGAAACTAAAGTCCAGAATCAAAAAATGAATAGCCAAATAATTAATCTTGAACAACAAATTGCTAATTTGAAAATAGAAAATGAAAGTATGCAATATCGAATGGACAATATGGTTAATGTGCAACATCGCAATAATATAATGTTATATAGATATCCCAGTAAGACTAGTCCTTCCAAGCTAGAAGTGTTTAATCTTATTAAAGAATCATTAGAATTACATGAAGTTACAATGGATGACTTAATAGCGATTATTCCAATAACTAAATCACAGTATCCAACAATTAAATTAATTATTAAAAATACTCAAATAAGAGATTACATATATTCGAGATTTATAAAAATGAAACAGCAGAATCTATCGAACGTATGGAAAGAAACTCAAATTTCACAGGACCTTATAAAAAGATCTAGATTAAGACGTAAAAAATTAATTCCTTTTTTAAACGAGTTAAGGAAAGCAGGTAAATATCCAAAACTCCGAGGTGATACTATATTGTTGGGCAATTATTCTTTGACGTATAGCTATGTGTTGGAGGGACTGGTATACTTGGATTCTTTTACCCCGTATTTTACTTCTGAGAATACTCCGCAATGACATATGATCAATTTAAACACTCCTATTCAAGACTTACGTTTTGTGGAGACTCAATTATTAAGTCCCTTGCCTGCTGCACATAACAATAATGAAAGTTTATACGATATTACGTTCAATCAAAAAGTCTCCCATTTATAATTAATTGGAATTCCCAAGGTCTTAAGTAATGTCAAACAGAATAAAATGGGTCATGACCTTTTAAAATTAACGACTCAAGCTCAACTATATATTTTTTAATAGCAGAATTGAAAAGGTCTATATTTCTGCATTTACTTGTGTATTTACTTCGGGAAGTTCTACAATTGATCTGTTTATATGTTTAGAATTTTTTTGGTAGATTTATGTTCGGAAATTTAGTTCTAAATTGTGACTTATCGGACAATTTTCCGGTTAGTTCTTACTTTGGATTGAAAGTTTCGTATCATATAAATTATATTATACCGAAGTATCTGATAACTGACTATTAATATCAACGATATTAAGAATAAATCAGTGATAGGATGTGCTGTTTACTGGCTGAGAGATTAACCGAAGATATCGAAAAATATACTAAGTTTGTAAATATAATAAAAGAATATGTTAAAACAAGATAGAATAGAAATTCGAAATTACTAAGATCAAAAAACCATGGTATGATTCGGATTATATGAATTTAAGAATGAAAATAACTAAAGCATTACTCCAGTTTAAAAAAAATTATTTACATCATTTATCAACTCATAAATTAAAAACGAAAACAGCTCTTGGAATGGATACAACTACCTCTAAATTTATTAAACTTTTTCTGCCAGCGGATAGGCAAGTTCTACTTGATCTTTATAACTATTTTCATAAAACATTTATTATATTCTCACTGAGTGTCCAAAGCTTGAGGAAGCGCAATGTAAATCCAAATTAAAAGAGATTTTTGATTTAAGTTAAGAAGAAAATTTCAGAACCAATCTAGAAAAGAATTCCATTATGTAAGATGCATAATATTCATAACTTTTTTGTTCATATTTTAAAGAATTTGAAATATGATATGTAGACTGAATGATTAATATGTTATGTTTAGCAAATTTTATGTAACAAGTTATTTAAAAAATGTTTCAATAGGTAATAATTGTATTTTTGTAATTCTTCAGAGTTAACCCCCTGTAACAAGATCTTTCTTATTACAATAAAGTATTTGTAATAATAATAATTTTGGAGAATGATAATAGATGGGAAGTAATACTAATGAGACATTTTAAATATTCATGTGTCACTAGGTTTTGTCAAAAGTGATAAAGTAAATTACCAGTTCTTGAGTGAAGGGTAGGGTTTCTCTAACGAGATCTTGGAATACTGGTAATCTCAGTTGTTTTTTAATCTGGAAAATTCTTCTAATCCTGGGAAATCCTGCAAATTTCTTAAAAGGTCACTTTTTTCTTATTTTGTGTTAAGGTTGAGGAAATTTTGCAAATAGAAAGTATAATTAACTCTAAACTGTCAGAATACATTTGTATTTATTAATTTTAAGCCCACTTATTACTTTTTTAAACTTTTGCTTGTTATGGCATGTCACTGGTTGTCAATAATCAATATGTAGCATATTTGTGGCAGGACTCTGAAAATTCTTTAGTTGTCAGAATCTAATATCTTGAATAATTGCACTGATGTCTTAATTTTTAATCACATCCAGTAGCTTCAATAACTGCATTATGCCATATTGTGCAAATTGGGAAAAGATACAAATGAGTGTGAAGTATGCAAGTATGAAGTTTTTCTTCAAAAACCTGATCATAAAAGCCAAACGAACTGCTGAATTATCGGGCTATAAGCTTGATGCCAATTTATTAAAGCAGCTGAAATAAACAAATAAAGAATACTAGACAGCAAAAGAAGTACTGCAATGCATCTCAAAAATGAACTAGAAATCTTCTGAGGCTACAGGTGAGAAAACACATAACATCTGTCTTCTCTTAAAGGCATTAAAGATGATTCCACCCACATCAATTAAATGGGAAAGGGAATTCTTGGTAGCAGGACTTTTGATTATTAAAATAAGAACCAGATTGAGTGATCGGAGGAGTATTGACAATCTTTGCTTTTTAAAATCTTAATACAAAATATTATTGTGAATTTTTATAATATGTTTTATTTAAAAAATGAAAATTACCTTGTAAGTTAGAAGTTTGATCTAAGTTCTTTTTTTTTTCTTTTTAATTTTCAACTCAATTCAAAGGCATTTTTTTTAAACAGTTCCCAACACACTTTAATAAATTTTTTCTTTTGATTCTGATGAAACTTTAATAAATTTTTTTCTATTATTGAAAATTTCTACTCAATTCAAAGGTAATTTTTAATACATATTTAACACAGCATTATTATTTTGGAGGTTGCAGAATCTATTAAATTACTTAAAAAATGAAAAATAATTATATCATTCAATTTTGAGATTTATTTTATATCTTAAAAATAATTAATTATATCCCAGGAAAAAACTTTTTTCTTGAAATCCTGGGACAAGCAAAGGACTGGGAAATGACAAACCCTAGTGAACTATTGATTAAACTGCTTAGCACAGTTTTAGCAATTTGTACATCATTATTTTGATCACATGTTCTTAATAATTAAATTGTTTTATTAATCTACTATTTCCAAAATGAAAATAATTCAACATGAAGTTAAATGTGTTATGATATTTTAAGTGGAAGATTGGTCTGTAGGCCATGTTGTCAGATTTGTTTGCCAAAATAAACTTTTATGCTCAACTGAAGAAATTTGTGGACTTTTGCAAATTTTTCTATACAATATGATGAAACAGATTTGTAAAAAATAAAAAAATAAAAAAAAATAAATTTTTCAAACTTGGAAGAAAAGACAATAAAATTCAACAAGATAGTGAATCTAAACTTATGTGTAGGTTCACTATGCTGTCAAATTTTGTTGTGTTTTCAAATCGTCTACAAATGACTCTCAGATACTGTGACACAAACAAACAACAAAATTTGTCCTTTTATTTATAAGACACAAATTTTTTGGAACTTATTACTATGCTTTATATAAAAGTATACAGACCTTTTTCTGATCTGCTGAATGCCTATTCAATTCCTTCTTTATCTGTTCCATGATACCATCAAATGAATTATGCTGAATATTGGAATTTTTCTGAAGAGCTTCCTGCATGATAATATGTTTATCAAACTTCATAAAGTAACTTCACAAAACAAAGTAAACAATTAATATTAAAATAAATTTTGAAGTTTTAGTCATTTGATCACTTACCAAAATTGATCCAGACACTTTCTCACACAACTGTTGACTATATTGTTCCATGCAACTATTTACGGTTTGTTGAATTTTTGCAGATTCTTCTGTCATCCTACAAGTTAATTCCTTTTCTAAATGCAAAGGTTCTCTAGATTCTTCCTGTAAAAATAAAAATAAACTTGCAAACAAACAAACTATTACACATGCAGAAATCAACACACACCATGGAGAGTTACAAAAATAACAATTTTGTTTAATTATTTAATTAAAATTTTAATATAATAAAAATATAAAATTAGTTCAAAAAAAGTAAACTTTTATGATTCTGAAGTTTAAATTAATATATATTCTAATCAAATTTCTCACACAAAAAGAATTACTGATCACTTTATATTATTATTATATATAATAATCATCTATTTAAAACTGTTATACCTGTTTATTCACTATTGCTTTTAATTCTTGAACACAACATCTCAATCCTTCAACCTCTGATTTTTCATTAGCCCAAGTATCTTTTATTGAAGCCACAACTTCCTAAATAAATATATTTTACAATATTTTAAATAAAATTCAATAGTAGATAATTTTAAATAAAATATACATCTATACATAAATTGGTTTTATAAGTTTAATAATATTTTCTACCTGTAATTGTTGAATTGCTAATATCCAACTTTGATCAGTAGAAACTCTCAGTTCAGATAACCTTTGTTCTAGATTATTCTATAATGTAAATAACATATATATTCTATTTTCATTTAAATCAATAAAATAATTATTTAACAAACAAAATTATGCAATTGAAAAAAATCTATAGATTCTATATCATCAGTTTTAAAACGATAAATTTTCAACTATTAGATATGTCAGAAAGTTCTGCTATCTTTTCATATAAAATACTAAAAAATTTCCTTAAACGCTTACCTAAAAGCAATCATTTCTGTTTTGCTTTTATTACTCAAATTAAACTGCAATCCAAGTAGAAATTAAATTCAATACTTTCTTTACTCAGAGTAATTGAAAAATAACTAGGTTGATGAATAAAGTGCATTTGTGACACTATATACTTTAAGACTTACAAANACCATTTGATAAATGATAAATTATGTTGAAATAATTCTGCAAAGAAGTGTTTCAAAATTCATTTTACATAAAGAAAGTTTTTAATTTTTTGGTATGAGATGCTTGCCATCAAGGTTTTTCTGGTTATTTCAAGAACTTCTATATATCTTCTTTAATGTAAGTATAACGTTATTAACTATAACATGTTTAAGCACTTTATTAATTTATTTCAAATAATATTTTATTTGAAACAAAAAACAAACAATGCAGTAATTGATGGTAGAAATTTACACAATTTAAAAATAATTCACAATGTTTAAAACTAAAACATTGATTTCTGAAATATGAAACTTATTCTAGAAAGTCATGAAAATTTGACAACAATATTTTAAGAACTCTACTGAAAAAAGATCTATATACCAGAATAATGTTAATGGCAATAGCAAAAAAATTTGGTGTGTCACATTCAAAATTATTAGATCATACTCATTACCTTTGATTTGTTTTGAAATAAGTGAAATAGATACTATTTTGGGTGAATAAAATAAACTAAACAGATATTTGAGTTGCCATTTCCAGTTGCTTAAATCATAAATTTCAACTATTTTTAGATTTGTTCATAACTAATAATGTTAAATAAATTGTCATTATTAATTCTATAAGAAATAAAGTATGTTGAAACTAAAGATAGTTTGCTCCAAGTATTGTAAAACCAACTTTTCACTACCAAACGAAAGCACTCTGCATAGAATGAAATAGAAAAAGTCTAGCGATTGCTTCAACCTGATAAATTTTCAAAATTATCATCAAAAATTAGAAAATTTAGATGGGCAATTAAAGCTAAACATCCAACTCTATCAAAGAGAAAAGGCATGGCCTGTCTTCTAACATGATAATGTTTGAATACATTCAGCCAAACAACCACCAGATTACATTGGGCTACTTTTCCACAATTATATTTAATCAATTACTAAATAATTTGCACCACAAGTAACCGAGAATGGTTATATCATATTTAAATAGCCTGGAAGAGGAGATTAGACTGAAAAGCTCAAATAGTGTAACTGGCAATGCATCCACACAGTAAGCAGAAGTTGCGGGTTTGAGTCATGCTCCAGGCAGATTCTTTTCTTCCAGAATAGTCTGAATTATATAATAAATGTTAATTTAATTATAATTATTAAATTTAATAAGAGATGGTGACTAGGCATCTTCTAGAAGATGGCATTAGGCATCCTCTTGTGACAAATTATTTAGTAATTTATTAAATATAATCACAGAAAAGTAGCCCAAAGTAATCCAGTGGTTATTTGGCTTTACAAATTTATCAGGTTTTGTGATGGTTGTTTAAAAATTGTCTCAATCGGGCTAAAACATATTTATAGATAATCTAGCATATTCTCTAAACATTGAACTTCATATTTCCATATTCCCATATTTTCATTTTAGTTAAAAATTTTCAAGATGATTCTTCAGTAACTAACAAGAATAATTTTTCAAATTAGAAAAGTATATTAGTTCTAAAAATAATATTTTATGCAAAGAATATTGATAAATTATTCAAAACGTTGTAAAAAGTAATGATTATTATATTGAAAACTAAAAACTACCAAAATAATAAATAAATAAAAATGTAATCAAAGTATACATTTAGTAATGCCAAAAGACAAGTGATAACTACATCCAAAAAACACATAATGAGAAAATCCAGATATAAAGGAATTGTTAAAAAAAAGTAAATTAAGTGTGATTTAGTTCACTATCTAGAAATGGCTGCTCCCTACAAATAATTTTATTTCAAATAAAAAGCACAAAATAAGTGTTTTTTATTATTATAAAAACAGCAAATATAATTCAAAGCACAATAACTGAGAAAAAACTGCACAAATAATCATGCAAGACAATCATGATTCTTCCCACATGCCATTCTCCACAACTAAAGCCTAGCCTATGGGGTAAAACTTATTTTGTAGCTATATTAACTGAAAACAGTTTTCCAATTTAGTTTGAGTATATGGTTCAGATATTAAATTAAAGCTCTTATGCTGTAAATGATACTTCTGAAGAAAGAATAGTTTCAGGTATGTGGAGTGGCAAAGATACAATGTTAAGTCTATAGGAAAGCAAGCAACAAACATGTCGGGCACTTGCATGCTATCTATCAATTTAGATTTTCTTAAACATTTGAACAACCTATTGCTTACCACTACTGTGAATTCCTGCTTAGTTTGCCAATTACACATTAACTAAAAGACATTTTGTATTATTTTTTCAATAAATTAGTTTTGTCAATATTGACTGCAGTGCCATCCATCAACATTTAGTGCCAATCTCTGTTTTTATTTTACTATTACTTCATGATTCTAACTATCCAATTTGTTACTTAATGCCAATTGATGGCTTTCTAGAGAAATCTATCAATTAAAATAAGAATTAACTGGAACATATGACTATTGGTAGGTTAAGAGTTTTATAACAGTCAATAAGATTTCTATGAGATAGACTGACACTATCCTCACTGTTAATCTGAAAACCCCACCAGTTGAAGTTGATTGCCTTAGGAATGCTAATTGCCATCCTGGGACATGGATGCAAAATTGAAAGAAGCCATTGAGAGAGAGGACTGATGAGAGGAGCCTCATAGTACCAGAGAACAGATAGATGCAAATCACTGCAAATGGCCTTGCTGGAAAACACTTGCTGTAAAATGTCAAATTTTAAATAAGCTCATTGTATTTTACAAATACTTTAGTAATTTTTTCAATCCTATTCAAACAATTCATTCTCCCTTCAATCCTATTTAAATAATATTGTTTAAATAAGAGTGATGAGTTTAAGATTTTAAGATCATTGACATAAGTTATTAATGTCTGAATCAATAAAAGGGATAGCAATATCAACATAAGCAATAAAGAAGAGGTTACTTAAAACAGATCCTTGGGATATACCACAAAGAGAAGGAAAAAAAAAAATCACAAAACTGTTGCCAAGTTTTATTGATAATAAACATAGCAGGAAATAGTTGTAATATAATTTTTTCTCAAAAATATGACAAAATATTCTGATATATCTAATAACTGCAAATTTTTAAAATTTACATTTAATACATACAAAAGTTAAAGAATACTATATTATAACATATTATGAAAGTATTCATCAAAATAAAAATTAAACTAATTTGAATTTAAAATTAAAAACATATAGTACAATTAATACAAAAATGATGCAATGTTTTAAAATTTAATAAATGAATAGTTAGAAAACCTGACTCTCCTGAAGTCTCTGTCTTAACTCTTGTAACTGTGTGTGGCTTTCTGCTAAATGCTGTTCAAGTTCATTATTTCTTTGCCTTAATTGAACAACTTGTTCTTCTAGAGAACTTCTTTGCATGTGAGATTCATTTAATTGTCTCTCTAAAGTAGCAATTTGAAATGAAACTTGTCTAGAATCAAATGATACATTACTGGAAGATGCAGACTGAACTGTAAAATTATTGATATAACATTAAATAATCATAAAAATATTTTTAAAAAAAATGTTTATAAGGTATAAATAATATAAAATTTTATAAAACTTTAATATAAAAATGATTTGAAATTAATTATTAACCTAATTATTATTTTCATTCATGATATAAACTATAAAAGTAATAAATAAATAAAATTTCAAAATATTTAAAAATTTAAAATGAGAGAAACTGATAAACTTGCATTTAATTGGTAGTAGGTAAATGCATTCATTAGAAAATATGCACATATCAATTTCACAGTTCAAACAGAATTTAACGCCTTATATTAAGCTAATGCAGAAGACAGGAAAATTAATAAAACTGGTGTTTTTGAAGTAATAAAGCATTATAGAAAACAATTTTGTTAAATAGATTTAAAATATAATAAAAGCAAAATGAGTATCATCATATCATATCATATCATCTCATATCATCATATTACTATGATGATATGAGGAAACATTTCAAGCCCAAGATAGTGATCATATTAAATTTTAATATTTGCATCTTTTATAAATAAATAAAGCAATAAATAAAATATGTTTAATTTACTTATTATTTTATATATTTAAAACTATGATTAAACCTGAAAAAGTACAAAATTATATTAACATTATAAAAATTATGTAACAACTTGAAAAGACAATTTGATGTCAATATATATAGATATATATATATAGAGAATTCTAACTTAAAATAAATCTTACTTGTTTAATGTTTTTGAATTAACCTTTGTAGAGAGGATTAGTCAGATATGGCACTATCATGATGTAGTGGAGAATAAACATGGGAAATTTTTTAAGAATTTTCCCATACGTTTTTCTCATTTCCGTTTCGGAAAAAAATTTTTAAAAACAGTTATGTCTAGTAAAGAAAAATTTTTCTTTACTATCACATAATTCCTTTTTTATATGAATTTTTTTCTTGCGCTCTAGTGCCACGTGATTGCCCTTGACAGGTATATCCATTGATCATTGCAGAGTTGTTAATAAGATAGCAAAATGTAAATTAACTATATCTGGTTTTGCATATATATATATATAGAAACTATATTCTTGATTTTTTGAATATTTAAAGAATATTTATTTATTTTTAAACCATTATTTCAAGTGTATAGTTATAGCAGAATTCACTTATAATGAACATGAATGAAATAGTAAAATAGCTATAAGACCAATGTTATTTTTTCCAGCAATGACAAACCTATATGTAATAAACTTCCATGTGTAGCAAACAATGTACAGGTTTAAAAACAATGAAAAGTTATCATTTATAATGTATACAAAAAATATCATCAAATTACTATTAGTATTCAGATTTTTAGATTTCTGGCAGCATGATGAATGTAACATAGAAGCATCTAACCCAAGATAAGGAGTCCCTTAAAGCATTTTTAAAATATGGTACTTAAAATTGTCTAATATGGAAATTTTTGCTTTTTATTAACTAAAATGTGTGCATTTATTTATCTAATGTTCTTTTTATTTTGTCACAAATTAAAAAATATACTATACCAGTTTTCTTATTTCACTGGGGGATTCCCAAAGTTCATCTAACAGCCCATTAATAATAAACTTAAATTATATCATTGAGGATTTTCATTCATTAGTAATTTACATTTTAAATTTTAGTTTTGATCTGTTATTAATAGTAAAATAATTTGCAACATATTTTGTTGGATTTCCCATCTATTTAATGTTCAGAAGTTGAAAAGGCTATTGGTAAACTACAAAATTCAATTACATTTTCTGTGACAAACTGTGAGAATAAGCAAAGAAAGAAGCAAGAAGATTTTTTTACTAATTGATAACTACAGACACATCCTTATGTTAAGAATTTACATTGCATTAAACTGGCATTCATACTACTCGACATGAGTTTAAATCCACAGCCTTTAGATCTAGGAGTTACATACAACTTACAGGGCAACTTATTTCAAAAATGGTAATTTCTATAAATAGTAACAAAAAAATGTTTTCTGTATGCCTTGGTACAATAAAATTCATCCCTATTGTATGGCAAAAATTATTAATGCAAACAAGAGAAATTTATCAATATTAAGTGATGTTAAATCACCAATTAAACTAATTGAAATAACAGAAGCAGCAGATAATTTCATACTAAATTGTTATGATTCAAACTTATTGAAGCTTAGAGAAAAAATTTAATGCATAAATTTATCTTTGTTAATTATATTTATCAAAATATCTACTTAATATCTGCAAATCTGTATTATTATTTGTAAAAATCATTTAAAATAAATTCTTAGAAACTTTAATTTTAATGATCTCTAATAACAAATTATTATTAGTTCTCAAAAATATTATAAAACATAATCTATAAATATCTAAATAAAATGAACAAAAATATTTGGAAACTTTAATTATTATATTTTATTGCAAAATTAGATACATTTCATGTATTCAATTATGCAATACAAAGTGTATGCACATGCACTAATTATTTCAAGATAAAATAAATTTTGAATTAATGTAAATATGTTTTATTACCATGAATATTATCAGAAGGATTTCTATTAGCTGTTCCAAGAGAAACATCTGGAGGATTATATATTCTTGATATTCCTTGAGAATTAGAACACCCATCACCTGAATGCAAATCTTGTGACTGACGAGATATAGCACCACCAACACCACGTAACCATGATTCTCCGTTGTGTGTGTTTGACAACACTCTTGGTTGTCCTGCATCTGCTTCATCTAATGGAGTGACTGGACTTGTTTGAACAGGAAGAAGATCTATAAGAAAAAATTATACAACTTCAAAATTCAATAAACAAATTATATCTGGCAAATTAATATATACATATTAATGAAACAAAACTTGTTTTTATAATATAATTATGAAAGCACATTGAAATATAAAGTAAAAGTTTATAAATTGTTAATATACAAATTAATATTTTTAATTAAAATTTTTAATATAATTATAAATATTTATTTTTAAATATTGATTAATAAAAAAAATGATAAGAATGTATATTTATAATTAAGTTAAGAACTTTATGAAGATAAGCAGAGTAAAGTAAAGTAATTTTTATATTTTTAATTTGATATTTTATATTATCCTTTATATATATCTGCATTAAATTATTAATAATTAGTTTAATCAAATATTTTCAATTATTTCAAATTTAGTTTATATTATATTGCATTTTTGGAGAAGTTTTGACATTCTGAATAACCCTAAAGAAAAAGTCATCATATCAAAATAACAAATAACTTTAATGTGAAATTAGCCTTTCTTACTATATTAGAACTCTTTCCTTGACNATGTTAGTTTATATATTATATATTTAGTGTAACTTAAGAAGAAAACAAAATTAAATATTTTAATTTATTTGAAGATTTGTTTATTAATGCCTGTTTGATTTACAATTATGATAATAAGGTTTGAATAAATATTCATTTCAAAAGTAAATACTGATACAAAATATTCATTAAACAAATTATATCTGGCAAATTAATATATACATATTAATGAAACAAAACTTGTTTTTTATAATATAATTATGAAAGCACATTGAAATATAAAGTAAAAGTTTATAAATTGTTAATATACAAATTAATATTTTTAATTAAAATTTTTAATATAATTATAAATATTTATTTTTAAATATTGATTAATAAAAAAAATGATAAGAATGTATATTTATAATTAAGTTAAGAACTTTATGAAGATAAGCAGAGTAAAGTAAAGTAATTTTTATATTTTTAATTTGATATTTTATATTATCCTTTATATATATCTGCATTAAATTATTAATAATTAGTTTAATCAAATATTTTCAATTATTTCAAATTTAGTTTATATTATATTGCATTTTTGGAGAAGTTTTGACATTCTGAATAACCCTAAAGAAAAAGTCATCATATCAAAATAACAAATAACTTTAATGTGAAATTAGCCTTTCTTACTATATTAGAACTCTTTCCTTGACACATCTAATCAAATACTTCATGATAGTAAAAAAGTTATATTAGTTATTGTATATGCATTAATAAGCTGTATTAATGCTAATATAAAAAATTATATTAGTTATTATATATGCATTAATACATTAGTGTATATGCATTAATAAGCTGTAAACTTGCTAAGGAATTTCTCATTCTCCAAACAATAATTTTTTTTGAGTTTTTATAGGATTTTGAATATCCTATAGAACTTAAGCCTCTAAATCCTATAAACCTTCTGGGTTTCTTTTTTGTTTCTGATCTATGTATTAAGGGTTTGATGTATTTGTTTCTATGTATAAATATATAGGATATCCCAAAAGTCCATCATATTTTATTTTATTTATTATTATAACTATTTCATTTACTATATTAAAGCAAGTTAAAAATGTACAAAAAGCTCATTTAAACATACATTAAATAAATGATACATACAAATTATATTAATTTCTACTTATAGATATTAATTTTGGGACACCTTGTATATTCAAAATATCTGCTTTATGTATTGTAAAAGAGAAATATAAACAATTTTTTGATGAAGAATGTTCTACCATTTGATAAATGATAAATTATGTTGAAATAATTCTGCAAAGAAGTGTTTCAAAATTCATTTTACATAAAGAAAGTTTTTAATTTTTTGGTATGAGATGCTTGCCATCAAGGTTTTTCTGGTTATTTCAAGAACTTCTATATATCTTCTTTAATTCAAGAGATTAATTATTAATAATAAATAATATCAACATTATAATAGATAACAGGAAAAATTTTTTTTGGATGTTACTTTAATAAATAATATAATATGACAACAAAAAGCAAGTACGTTTGGTAAATGAATTTACCATCATTAGGCAAATACAAATGTAATCCAACAGATTTCAAAAAGGAATAAGACATCACAACTGAAGTGATACAATTAGCTGTGAGAGTAACTGTTAGTTGAAAGGTATTGAAAAGGCCCCTTAATCCCAATAGGGTGTTGTGTAGCAACAAAACTTATAACACTGGTTTACAGTGGTAGACCATCTGACCATTTCAGAGATTTTACAAAAATATAAAACTATTTAGACAATTCTTGTGTGTTGAAATTAACTAAAGAGAAATTATATTAAAAGTTGATTTGTTTTTTAACCCAGATAATGTCAGGTTTGTCAGTTATTTATGTATAAAACTAGTAGAAAATATGTATGTATTTTTAAGTATAAAATTATTTACAATAAAAGATTTTTATATTTTGTAAAATTTTAACATACTCAAAATACATGTTTGCACAATATTATAAATTGATATTTTTTGTGCATAAAATAAAGTTTAGAATAAAACATTATAGTAAATGTTGCAATTTTAACTTTTTATGTAAAGAATTTATTGTATTAATAAATATACAAAAAAAAATTTTATACACTTAAAAACTTACAAATAGATAGTCCCTTCATATATAAATTTAATTTTCACACATTTTAAATGAAAAAAATTATTTTACAAGCACAAAATTATTTATGCATAACAAAATAGCATATTTATTTTAAAAGTAATTCAAGAAAACATTAATTAACAGAAAATAAAACCTTAACTAATTAAATTCTCTTCAGGAAGTGTTACATGTGTGGCCGCCAGTGCCAGAGATCGAGAACACAGTCTGGCAATGCTTCTAACAAGTTGTTGGCTGGCAACGTGGGATAAAAAGAAAAAAAAAGGCACAAAAGTTTGTTGATTTGCCCGAATGTAGCCTGAGGATGTAGTTGATAGCTCTGATCTTATTTAGTAAAGTTCTTTTATTATAGTTTGTGTGTGTCTGCTTAGTGTTGGTATGTTAAATATCAGTAGGATTAAATGACAAACATGTTTTATATAATTATCAAATGAATGAAACTGAAATGTGAACAATTTTTACTTTGTCATTTACATTACTTTTAATTATAATTTAAAATCAATATCAAATATGTCAAATTAAATATTTAATCCAACTGAAAGTAAAATTGTATTTACCAGGAAATGTTGCCCATGGAGATGGTGCAGCTTGTGCCTCTATACCTGCTCCCTGAAAATACAATACAAACTTTTTAAAAATTTAGAAAGATAAAAATAAAGATTCTAGACAAAATTAAATTTTTAATTTAAAATTCATACTTAATCCATACATGATAAATGTTAATAATAATAATAAATTAAAACAAAATTTATTATAAATGCAAACAATTTTTGACAAGACTGTCTTGTTTATAAAATTGTGCTGCCTGCTATGTTACCAGCTTAGAGATATAAAGGAGTACATGTCAGGAGTTGCAATTTGGCACAGAGTATTAGGTGCCCAAATCATGCATGCATAAAAAAAATAGATTTGTAGGTACTCAGGGAACCAAGGGGCGACTCTCTTTACAAACAGGCAAACCGAGATCAGGTGGTGAGAGTATCAACACCTGACAGTCATTCTAGAAAGTGGACTCTGACCCTAGGACTAAACATGTAGTATTTTCTTTGTTAAATAAAATTTGGGAGTGCTTCAAATATGACATTAAAACAGGGTTTTATGTCGTTACAAGCAGGTTTTTAACATTATCTAGTATAGTAAAATCATGGGACTGATAAAAATTTGACGTTATATTAGGGTTGTCTTTACATCCGATGACGTTATAATCGGGTTAAACTGTATATTGTTTGTGCATAATAAAAAAATAATTTCGGACGATACAATAGCCACAATTATTTTTTTCAAAAATGGGAAATTTTCGTTACGCATCAACAAAAATTCAACCTAGGCCGACACACGACAGAGAGAAATTTCAAAATTGGACAGGTTAATTTCATCGAAAATGCATTGTGGACGACCTTGTGGTTGTGACTGGCAAAGTTTGAATGATCGTGCACAAAAGCAGCAATACCAAAGAAGATTCTTGGATACTGACAACACATGTGGGAGATTTTAACCTTTTTTTGTGAGCAAGTGTGTGACCATTAGAGAAAGGAACAGAGAAGAGATTAGCCTTCAAATTTCTCTTCTAAGACACATTTAAAATTTAGACAAGAAAGTCTATGTAGTTTTCTTACAATGGTGCTTTACATATGTAGACCTAATTGTTTCTTTTTACCTCTTTGTCCCTACTTTCCACATCTCTGTGGATATATTGTCTAATTGGACTTTATTTATTAATAGGACTTATTATACTGGTAAAGACTGTGATTAGCAATAACTAAGATTTCCTCTTTTTGCTAATCAGAAACTTCACCAGTACAATAAGTCCGATTAATAAACAAAGTCCAAGTAGGCAATATACACACAGAGATATGAAATTGTAATTGTTGAATATTATTCTGAAAAGAGAGAGAGAGAGAGTGGTGAGAGTTCTGTAGGTGGACAAGAGGTTGATAAATACTTGAATCCTTCAGAGTGGTCCAAAAGGAATCATTCCAATTACACATTGAACAGATTGTAAAGATTGTTGGAAACTTTATGTGGAAGCAATCTTTATCCATTTCTCTCCAGTGATCCAAACAAGGCATTTATTCTGTTAGGAGATTAATCAGTGAGTGATGAGTGGACTGAGCATTGATGATGGTCAGTCCTCTCATGACTTGTCCAAGTGACCATCTTGGTTGGTCACTTGAACATAACTCTCTGGGTTAGTCCATGGGGAGCAGCAAAAGTTTGGGCATGATTCTCTCATTTGGAGGCTTGGATATGACACAACACACACAATCTCTCTCTCATCTTTCCATTCGACTCAATTATTAAAGATCCTCACCTTGGATACTACCCATAAGCCATTGCTGGTAAACAGTCAATTCACCTTTAATTTGATAGGATCCTTAAACTGTCACCATAAGTTTATAGGTGTCACCTGGGAATTGACTCCTTTTCCCAGGGAAATTTTTCTCACTTGCCTATCTGATTGCATTTATTACTTCAACACAATAAATAGAATCTGATTACTAAAATATTTAAATATATTTTTATAGTTCAAAGTTTCATTTGATGCAGCTTAACTTCTGATTTTTTTTCTTGTAAGTAATTTTTGTTTCTATTTGATTCTCAAACATTTTGTATTCCACAGAAGTCATCATAATTTTGATTATTTATCCTATGCAAATTCTCTGGTTTTGTGACAGGTGTGACCTCACATAACAGACTGCACTGCACACAGTTTTAACTTTGAGCTAGTGTTTTTTAGACTTAAATAAAGATATGTATCATAATTCAACATAACTACTGCTTTTAAGCTTTTGTCATTATTTAAATTTTATATAGTATAACTGAAAGTTATCAGCCTTCCTTCTTCATTCCCTTAACCTCCTGTTTGAGTGCTAGGGAAGTTAAGCAAGAGCCTATGCCAGCTTTTCTTTGTTTAAATATATTCCTTATTTGCTTATATATTTTATTTTATTATGATAATTTTATTTAAAATTATAATAATAAGTAGATTTCAGCATTTTCAGATACTTCATATTTATTTATAGTTCAATTAATGTGTACACACATGCAGTATATAATACATTATATTACTATAAAAGTAAGAGAGACTGAAGTTCTCTAATCTGGCAATCTATAACACGTAAGTTTATCATGATGCAGGGTGGGAATTGGGGTTTTGTGACTGTGAAAGCATATACCGTATCAAGGGCACCTATACGTTGGGACATGCACCCCCTTTGTCATCAGGATGCCCTTTTCGTAATTCCCTAAGGGAGGACTAAGGGTTTTATTTTATTTTAAAATTAGTTACTCATTTTTATCATAGAAAACTTTTTTACTGATGACAAAATAAAAATATTTGTTATTAACTGAAAATTTGTTCTAGTGGGTTGTGATTGTTCAGTCAAGTACTGAGATATCACTGTATTTGATTAATATGATTTTGATATATGCATTAGCATCAAGGGATTAATTAATTGCGTTAATCAAGGGATACCTGTGTATATATATATACACAGTTATCTTCTTCTTGCATAATGTATGTACGATGCTCTTTTTATAGCTGTGCCCTCTGCTTTCATAGTCTGCAGGCACTGCTGTACTGTATATTGTGAGATTATCTTTGAGCATACGTTGTCAAAGAAAAAAAAAAGGAAAGTTAGAAAATTTGAAATTATTACAAAAATAAAATTATATTGTATAAAACCAAATAAAAAACAGTGTGTGTATAAAAATAGATAATTTTCATGTAGCATCCATATATTAAACATGACTGATGTGCAAAAAGAAATGGAAAAAAACATAATAGCATTCAGTATAAAAAATATAATTTTTGAACCATTCAGAATAAATAGACCCTTTGTAAGCAAATCTAACAAAATTAGAAAGAACCTACTAATCCCTCATTTTTGATATTCAGCACTGATATTTTGATCCCATGCATGTCAGAAGACATTTACTATATGAGATTAAATAATAATATTGCTTTTAAATTTTGATGATAATTTAAAATAATAATAACTTATTACTATTTTATTTAATACAAGATATATACCCCCTTTGTTCTATGTGCAAAATAAACAAGTATAATAAACTATATAAATTCAAAAAATTAATAATATACTTTATTTATTATTTATTTGTTTTTGATTCATTAATGATATATTTTACTTACTTCAAATCCTTCAAAGTCCCCAAAATCATCATCAGCTCCACTATCAACATCATCACAATTTACATTGCGTAAAAGCTGGATAAAAAAAAATTAATTCATGTTTTATTGATGATAGTATTACTATCTTACCAGACTTTCATATAATTAATATATATAGTAGACTTCACTTATCATACATGCAGATAAGTGAAGTCTACTATATATATTAATCATCATCAAAATACGCACATCCCAAAACATATATACCATACTATATGTTAATATAACTTACACATTTACAAAATTCTGCTTGATTATAATCAAAATTTGGTTATTGTTAACATTAAAAAAGAGCTTAAAAATGCCTAAATATAGACATTTTTAAGCTCTTTTTTAATGCTATCAGCCTCATATTGAGCTGATAATGCACAACTGAAGAGCTCAGTAAAAAAACCAGTTGACTCCAGAATTAGCAATTTTAGTTTTATTATATAAAGTAGCAATATTAAGGTAGCTTCATTGACTGGCCGAAAATCACTTTACCCCAAGCAATTTCATGGTATAAAGCAATTTCATTTAAAAATCTAATTATGCAAATTATGTAATAACAATGCAGAAAACAGTCAACTTCTTGGAATTAACTGTTTTCTGCATTGTTATTATATAACTGTTTGCTGTGGCCCAGAAAGTGAGATGGCATTGCATGATAAGGATCGTAGCTCATGTAATTTAGATTTTGAGAATTCTGGCACCACCAAAGAGGACAAAAAATTTGATAGTAGTCCATGAAAAATTTGGATGGAAGAGAACTGTAAAAACAAAATTATGTTGAAGAAATATGATCAAGAGGCACTGAGTTACAGGTAAACTAAATATGAATTGGAGTGGAAAGTCTGTTATAGGCAAGAGCCAGGGGCGGTGTGACCTTTTGTGGGGCCTGGTTCAAAAATTTTGCAGGGCCAGAATACACATTCAAATCCTATACTTAAATTTCACAATAAGAAATTATTTATTACAAGTACAAAAGACGTTACATATATTTTTTGCAAGATGAATATTACATAATTTTTCTTGCTTTTTTTGCCGTAAAATCTTTCATTACATCATCAAAACTAATTAAGTTTGGTACCTTGCTTTCTATTGAAAGAATAGCCAGAGATGTAAATCGGTCTTGGCTTATTGATGATCGAAGATAATTTTTTATTAGTTTCAACCACGCAAAACTACGTTCAGCTAAAGCCACAGTTACTGGCATAGTTAACATTATTTGTCATGCAATTAATAAATTTGGGTATGTTGACATAGACGTTGGCAGACGTTGATGCCAACATTTAATGTCAATGTCTGCAACATGCTGCAACGAAATATTTCAATGCAAAGACGGGAGAGAAAATCTTGCACTTATGTCAATGTGCAGCAAGTTGTCATCAATTAGTGAATTATGCAATTGCATTTTCCACACACACTCAAATATTCAATCTGCTATACAGGGGGTCCTGTAAAATGTCTGATGAATTTTCGTACACCGTGGGGCCTTTCAAAACACGGGGCCAGGTTCTGGCGAACGCATTGAACCTCCTCGCACCGGCCCTGGCAAGAGAATTGGAGAAGTGTTTAAATTTTGCAAAAAATGCTTTCAGAGAGTGACAAAGGGTGACTGTCATGTAATATTTAATGCATTCTATAAATTTAAAACAAAATATTTTCAAGACAAAATTAATCACTTTGAAAACTGTCCAATGATGTCAGAATATGAAGACTGTCAGCTCATGTTCCTGCAGAAAGGCATCTTTTGGTTATAAGATAAGACTGCTTTCCACCTAATGAGCATATAAAGTATGCTCTTATATTGTAGTTTCAAATAACCCTTATTGTGTAGCATAAAGTCTATACTTTTTGTCTGTTTTTTTCTGTATGTTTTTAGATTTGAGCAAATGGACAAAAAGTTGATGTTTGTTATAGGGAATTTCTGTCTTTGCTGGCATAATTAGCAGACTGCTACAGTTTACTACTACTTTGGCAAAATCAGACATTTCTTCACAAAACCAGTGTGGCAAACATTATCGTCCAAACTGCATCCTGATTATACCACAGAGATGATGGTTGCCTTCATTAAAAGCATTCTAACAAGACTTTCCCATTAGTCCAGACAAACAGAGAAAACAAGATGTTATTTCACTTATAATGTGAAATCTATTGTTTTCTTCTTCAGAATGTTTCTGCAGAGGCACCCAGAGCTTGCTTTGCCTGATGAGGAAGGAAACATTGCTGGATGCTCATGTGATATGAACAAGAATATAAGATGTAAAAAAACCATTGATATCATATGACTTTTTCAAGAACTCATTTTCAGACTAACTATAAAGTTGATCTTTCCAAACCAAAAAGGAAACACATTTTTGTGATGAATTATATGTCAAAATCAAAGCAGAAACAGATGAGAATGTAAACATTTTCTAAGATCCCAGATTTCTGAGTTGCATCGCAGAGAAGCTCAAGAGTTTTATGATAAGCTGAAAGAATATACAGAATTCAGTCAGAATGATGGAACTGTTTTTCTATAAGTATATGCTGGATTCTAAGGTTCCTGTAGGTAAAATAATGGAAACTATAGATGTTCTTGATTTGATGGCATTTTTTCTTTCCAAATGAAAAAAAGGCATGGTCCTAATAGTGTTGTCATGTTTGGATCACTTTAATTACACAAAACTTGACACAACAAAAACATTTTTTTGTTTGACACATGCAGTGGTCAGAATGGAAACAATACAATTCTCCAATACTTTACATTTTATCTATAGACAAGAAACTGAAGATCAATCATTTCTTCCCTACCAGAGGTCATATCTTCCTTGCAATAGGAATTTTGACTGCATCTTTAAATGCTTCAAGAAAAAAATATATACAGTCGACCCCCTATAAGATCATAGATACGTTCCATTCTTTAGGAATCCGATTTCTTACGAGTCCTTCCAATCACAGCCCGACACGTGTGAAGTTTACGGACTACGGCTGATTGAAAGGTTTTCTTCCATAAAATTAATCGATTCTAGACTAATCCGACTCAACATTTCCAAAATACGTATATTTTTTTGGGAATAATCCGTATAAACTACGCTATAAACAAAAAATTGTAGCATTACTTACCGAGTGTGCACCATTCGACATCGCCATTGCTCAAGCTTATTTTCGTCGCAAAGCAGCACACCAAACCGCGGCCGATTTCTGATAACTTATTTTTCTGCGAAAACTTCATTGAACTTTGGAGACATCATTAATTAATATAAATAATTTTTATCGCCGTTGAATAAGAAATGTTCTTTCACAAGAAATGTATAAAATTACAGTGCTGTATTAGACTTACGATATTTAATTTACATACTGTACAGATGATAGTTCTTCTAAATTCTCCGTAGCGTGGCGCTACGGACGGCGGGAAAGTAGTTCGGCTGCCCGATGACGTTTTACGTAATTATAGGAGTTTTTTACCGGTTTTTACGGATACCGTCGCAATTTTTTCGCAGTTTTATAGGAATCGTAATTATAGGGACCGTAATTATAGGGGAGTCTACTGTAATTTATTCCATTAACTAGTATTGACATTATGAAAAATAATATGATTTCCAATTCATTTGAGTTTGCTTGAGTAGAGTAGCTATACCAATACCAATAAAATATTTTCAAAAACATTTTAAACTGATGGGGCTTAAAAAGCATTCTGGTAAATCAGCAGAAGGAAAAGTTGCTTATTGTAAGATCAAATTCATTGCGGTCTCTTGTGCTCATCTACATCAGATGTTCATAAGTGAAACATCACAAAGACAGGTTATAAAGAAGTTCAGCAATCAGAAGCATTCTGTCACTAGACCCTGAGAATCAGTATATAATGGTATTTTGTGTATCAAAGATAAAAAAGAAAATGTAATGAAGATTGTGGGAAGTATGTTCTGAAAGTTTGTTGCATTTTATGAGAAAGTTCATAATGTTGTCACTCAAGAAGAAACATAATACAGTAATACTCCAAAATTATGCGATAGGTGGGACCGAGCGATAACCGTGTAAGTCAAATTCGCATAAGTTGGGGTATAATTTCTCAATTTGTGTAAAATCCAAGTCGGTTGTTTATAAGCTAATAAATGTTCTCGTTAATCTTATCTCATCTTTTAATTCATTCACGGTTAGAAGAAATCACCACATACAGTCTCTCAAGTCTCCGTAGATATAACAAACACAGAAATAAATAACACAAAATAAATTGTAGCTATGTGTCAATTCCACGCGACACGTCTGAACATGTAAGCTGAACAATAGTGTGGGGAAAGTGAGTAATCGAGAGTTGCGTGGCACTCAAACAAAAGACGAATCGACAAGATTTGAAAATCGTGTAACTCCAGGTTTGCGCAAGTCGGGGTATTACTGTACAGTGTGTTAGTGCAGACTCAGAAGATTGTAATAATTATAGCCAGTGATGTAACAGTGGAGGAGCTGTAACAACATTGCAGTACCGTTATGTTGTGTTTTTATACAGAAGTATACCTATATTTTGATAGTAATGAATATTTGTATACAGGCAAATAAATCAGTATTGTACTTCTCATTGTAATGGCATTCCAAAAAAATGAAACAATCTGTAAGTTCATGAATCAATAAGAAACAACAATGCTACAATGATAATCTTGATATAATATTTGGACAATACTGACAAGATTATGGTTGAAACAAGTCTTTTTAACCTATTACAATGCCTGAAAACTGGATAACTCCATTTGTAAACATGTCTAAGATGCAAATACCAGTTAACGTCATCACATTTTTTATATTTTTCTTACAGGCCAATCAAATTTTGTGTGATAATACTACTCCACCAAGTTCCTATAAGCTTGTTTTTGTTTGCCTGAAAACACTAATAACTTATCTATAAAAAATTAAACATTTGTAAACAAATCAGGCAACAACAAAACAGAGCCTGATACCAATATTGTTTCTTAATTTGGTTACTTATTTTTAACCTGATTTTGCAGGTTAGTCCTAAATTACTTTTTAATAAACCATATTTACTCGCATATAAGATGATCTTGCAAATAGGATGAGGTGTG